CGGGCCTTTCTACCTAGTCTGTCCTAGTCTGTCCTAGTCTGGAAGCTCTGCTGAATCCTGTTCACCATGGGTGACCATGCTGGTATTTGAAATACCAGTGGCTCAGCTTCCAGCATCACAGCAACACACAAGCCTGCACAGTACAACACACATGGTGGTTGTACATGAGGTGGATTGGCTGGGAATCGAACTGGGTCTCCTGCATGGAAGGTGAGAATTCTTCCACTGAACCACCACTGTCCCCATACCAGTTAATGCTAGGAAAGGGAAATTTCATTAAAATCCACAGATTTAAAAAGTAAAGCTAAATACCAACAGGGGCATGCAATGGAGCTAGGACCCTGATACTCTTCAGCAGGGACGAAGGGAATAATTACGCATAGTGAAAAGTTTGTTGGCAAACAGCAGCTACCCAAGGTGCCCAGGATCAGGACGAGACTGTATGGTCAGTGGAGTTTCACCCTTGGATAGAGCTTGAACTGAAGTCAGGAGGCAGTGGATTTTGCTTAACTTATCACAGTATTTTGTCCACTCGATTTGCAAGTGGAACTAAGCTGTCTTGTGTTCCGTGCCATTGTTCACTGCACAATCAGGACTGTGAGGTCCCATGTCCTCTTGCCTGAGTGTCAGAGTTGGCATTTCTCAGCCTGGCCTGTGTTGCTCTGTCCCCCTGGGGACTCGTCTGTTCCGTGGCTGCAGGTGTGAGTGAGCCAGACCCACCACATCTGGCTCAGCCTGACCCCAAAGGAGCACACGCACAAGTCCAGATTCTGCCCTTCCAGTCCCTGATGCCTTGGCAGGAGGGTCCTCAGGGCGTGGGGAACAGAGGAAAGGCAGGAGCCCCCCGGCTGCAGGTCGACCACTGTGACTCATCCCCCTCCTGAGGACGTGCACTGGCTGGCCGACTGTGTCCACTGTCCTTCAACCCTCCTCGTCTTCCCACCTACCACTAAAATCAGAAATGAATGAATACATGCATGAATGAATGTGTGAATGAATGAAGAGGGGAGAAGGCCCTTTGGCCACTCATGTGACACTCTGTCCACTGGGCCCCTCAACAGCCTCATGCAGCTCCCAGCCCTCTGTCTTCTCCCTTCCTGCCCCTGCCCCAGCCCGTCTCCTCCCCTGTCTCCTCTGGCTCCTTAGTTCCTCTGCCCCAAACTCCTTCCTCTTCCTAAGGCTTCGCCTGGAATCCGATGGCTTCATGTGTCTTCGTTTCCACAAACCGAGGCTAGGCAAGAGAAGGGGGCACAGTCCCTCCTGCCAGAGGGTCCTGGGCATCTATCAGCCAGAAAAACCAAGACCGAAACCCCAGCACCCACCTCGTCCAGGGGAGAGAAGAGGCTTCCTAAACTTAAAAGCAGTGGTATAAAAAATGATGGAAAACGTCAATTAGTAATGAAAAACTAGCAAAAGAAAAATCATAAAAAATTAAAAGTTTCTGTATGACACATCACATGACATTATACATTTGCCAAAACTCAGAGAACGTCACAGCACAAAGAGCAAACCCAATGTGAACGATGGACTTGAGTTGATAATAATGTGTTGATATTGGTTCATCAGTTGTAACAACTATACCACAGGAATGCAGGATGTTAATAATAGCAGAAGCAGTGTGTAGGGAGGAGGGGGGCATACGGGAACTCTCTGTACTTTCTGCACAATTTTTCTGTAAACCTAAAACTGCTCTAAAAAACAAAGTGTATTAAATACAAAAGAAAAAAACGGAAAGACAAACAAGTTGGGGGAATATTTGCCACAAGTATGGCCCACAAAGACTAAATATAAGGATGTCGCACAAATCAAGATGAAAAATACTAAGACATCATTAAAGAAAGTTATAAAAAAAAAAGAATATACAAATAACTAATAAGCATATGGGACCTACAGTCAAACTAGAAAAAATATGAATAAGAACAATAAGATACCAGCTTGGTCTATTCATTTAAAAAAGGAAAAGTGGACCAAAACCCCTCTCTGTCGTGGCTTTGCCCCGCTCCGCCGCGGGCCTCTTATCTCCCACCTCCCATCCCCCCACCCTCCTTTGTGGTTACCTTAATATTTACCTCTATTTTTCTAAGTTTTAAACCAATCTTTTATTTCTTTATATTGCCTTGATTTCCTCTCCATATGAAAGATCTATGACTGCGTTATTTTAGTCCCTGTTTTTTTTTTAATGTTGTCACCTTTTACATACTGACGTCACTGTTTCTCTATTTTCAGTGTTTTAGCTTTGATTTATTTGTGACTTCCCTGTCTGGGTTGATATCTGGTTACTCTTTCCTGTGTTCTAGTCTTGGATTCTTATCTGATGTTATTAAATTTCTAACCAAAGAACTCCCTTTAGTATTTCTTGTAATTTTGGTTTGGTTTTTACAAATTCCCGAAACTCCTGTTTGTCTGGAAATGCCCTAATTTCGCCAACATATTTGCAAGACAGTTTTGCTGGATATATAATTCTTGGCTGACAGTTTTTTTCCTTCAAGACTTTATATATGTCATCCCATTGCCTTCTTGCCTGCATGGTTTCTGCTGAGTTGTCCGAGCTTAGTCTTATTGACTCTCTTTTGTGGATGACTTTTTGTTTCTCCCTAGCTGCTCTTAAAATTCTCTCTTTATCTTTGGTTTTGGTAAATTTGATTATACTATGTCTTGGTGACTTTATTTTGGGATCTACATAGTGTGAGGTTCAATGAGCCTCTTGGGTAGATATCTTCTTGTCTTTCAGGGTATCAGCGAAGTTTTCTGTGAACAAATTTTCAACAATTCTCTCTATATTTCCTGTTATCCCCCCCTGTTCTGGTACTCCAATCACTCGTAGGTTATTCCTCTTTATAGAGTCCCACGTAATTCTTAGGGTTTCTTTATTTTTTAAAATTCTTTTATCTGATTTTTCCTCAAATAAGTTGGTGTCAAGTGCTTTATCTTCAATGTCACTAATTCTGACTTCCATTGCCTCAATTCTGCTCCTATGACTTTCTATTGAGTTGTCTAATTCTGATATTTTATTGTTAATCTTCTGGATTTCTGTTTGCTGTCTCTCTATGGATTCTTGCAGTCTGTTAAATTTGTCATTATGCTATTCTATAATCTTCTTAAGTTCCTCTGTTGCTTTGTCTGTGTGTTCCTTAGTGTGTTCTGTGTTTTGCATGATCTCCTTCCTGATCTCTTGAAAAGCTCTGCATATTAATCTTTTGAATTCTACCTCTGGTAATTACAAGAAGTTCTCTTCCTCCCAAAGGTTTCTTAATTCTTTGTTTTGGGCACTTGCTGAAGCCATCACAGTCTGCCTCTTTATGTGATCTGATATTGACTATTGTCTCTGAGCCATCAGTAAATTATTATATTTATTTATTTTATGTTTGCTTACTGTGTCCTAGCTTCTTGTTTTGTTTTGATATGCCCAAATAGGCTGGTCATGTGAGTAGTTTGATTATTGGCACCTTTGAAGCTCTCACATCCTGTCAGCGGGTGGTTAGATCTGTTACTAGGTATGTGAGCCCAGGAGTCCATTTACTTTTCTTGTATGGATTCAGCTCAGGTATCCAGGTAGTCAGTCATGAAGTGTGTGGTGCAGGCTCTCACCTATAGTCCTAGACAGGCAGGGGTGATTGGAGTAGGCACAAGTATCTCGCTGCAGTAGGAGGTCATGCGCTGAGCAAGGCAGGGGGCTGATGGCTGCCCCTGAGTGTCTGGGAGCAGTGTGTCCCTGTTACCTAGAGTGTGTAGGTGGGTGGATTTTGCAGCCAGACTATGGGCACCCAATTCTGTTCACTGTAAGGACTGGGAGACCACTTATTCTTGGACCCCTGTCTTTGGTGGCTAGGTGGCATGGGTAGAGCCACCAGCCCTCAGACCCCTGATGTGGGTAGGTGAGGACCCTGCTTAATGGGCAGAACAGTGTCAAATGTCAGGAACCTGCCACTTCACCTTATAGCTGATACAGTTGAAATTAGGCTTCAGGTATATACCCAGTTGTACTGTGCTAATGAGGGTCTACGCTGTTGAAATGGGCCCACACAGGTCTATGCAGGGCTGAAAGGCATTCAAAGTCTATAGACCCCTTATACCTGTGCCTAGGCGAAGGAGCTGTGCCTGCCCTGAGTTCCTGGCTTAAGGGAGCTGGCAGATTATTTTTTCCTGTTTGTTAATTTGTTTCCTCTCCAAGGCTGGGAGAATGGCTCAGGATGCGTGATAGGTCCGGCCCAAGGGATGTGGTAATTGCTGAAGCTGGTCTGGGACCAGGTGCAGAGCGGGGAAGGGGCAGACAAATGGGAGAGAGTTCCTTCCCAAACAGGGTGTTTTTTGATCCGTGCAATATGTTAGACACCTGTACTTATCTTTTGCCGATTGAGCGCCACTTCTTGATGGTTCTGGAGGGTTGAGCATACACTCCACCACTCTCAGTCTCTCCCGGTGTGGAAAATGCATCCTGAGCACCACTGCTTGCCTCACGGCGCAAGCCAGCCTATGCAGCCTGCAGGGTACTGGTTCCCGCCAGGTCACGTCTGGCAACTCTTTGCTGCTTCTGAACTGTCTCTCCCTCCCCCTGCCGCTCATTCTGACTCCTCAGGTTTACCTTTGATGATCAGGGCTCCTAGATTGTCATATGTAATCAATTCACTTGTTTTTTCTGGTCTTTGTTGTAAGAGGGACCACAGGAAGCATTTGACTACTCCGCAATCTTGGCCCCGCCCCGAGGCTATTTAAATGTAAACATAAATTTTTTAAAAGTCAATAAAATTAAAACTTTAGTTGTCAGTCGTGCTAGCTACATTTCAAGGGCTCAGTAGCCACATGTGGCTAGTGGCTGCCACAGTGGACAGTGCAGAATAGAACAGGTCCATCATCAGAGAGGAGTCCTTGGGTGGTACAAACAGTTAAAGTGCTTGACTATTAACTGAAAAGCTAGAGGTTTGAGTCCAACCCAGAGGCACCTCAGAAGAAAGGCCTGGTTATCTACTTCCAAAAAATCAGCCACTGAAAACCCTATAGAGGTGCACATTCCATTGACCTGGTTTCTTTTATATATGTGAGCAGTGTTATTGCTTATGTTATATACAAATAGTTGAAGGTTAATTAGCACTGTAACTAAGTAGAAATGCTGCCAGTCTTCTTCAAAGAAATTAAAAAAAGAAAACCCTATGGAGCACAGTTCTACTTTGATACCCATGGGGTCACCATGAGTTGGAATCTACTCGACAGCAACTGGAACTGGAATCATCACAGAAAATTCCATTGGACAGCACAGGTCTAAGACCTACACAGTCCCCAGTCCATGGTTAGGAGTCGGTAAAGGCAAGCTATGATTAGGATTCTTTGGGAACTCCCAAATATAAGCCTCTGCACGGTAAGGGAAATGAGAAGAGAGCCTATTATGGATTGAATTGTGTCCCCCAAAGAGATATGATAGAGTCCTAACCTCTGTTAACTGTGAACATGAACTTGTTTGGAAATAGGGTCTTTGAAGATGTTATCAATTAAGTAAGGTCATACTAGAGTAGGGTGGGTACTAATCCTATATGAGTGGTGTCCTTATAAAAGAGGAGAAAGACAGAGGGAAGACAGTCATGTGACAATACATCTACAAGCCAAGGAACACCTGGGGTCACCAGAAGCTAAGAGAGACGAGGAATGTTCCTTCCCCTAGATCCTTTGGAGAGAGCATGGTCCAGCTGGTGCCCTGAATTTGGAGTTCTAGCCTCCATAACTGTGAGATAATAAATTTCTGTCACTTTGTTACAGCAGTCCTGGGACACAATGGCAGGCCGTCTGCTGAGAAGTTAGAAAAAGAAGAGACAAAGCAATCCTGGAGTTCTTGCTGGCAAGGAGAAGAGAAAAGAGAGATGATATGGTAACTGCAGCTTCCTCCAGAACCGGTAGCTGTTCCCCTTGCATCAGCAGAAAGAGACTTCAGCAGGAAAGGTTCATGCTCTCCCTTCTCCCACAGACAGATGGGGCCATGGATAAGGGGTGAGAGGGAAACCTGCGTGTCATTTCCTGGAATTGGCAAGGGGAATAGCTTTCCCTGGATTGGATGTCAAATTTCCGAATCTGGAAGAAGGTTTCCATGATTAGCCTCATTTGTTTGGAGCAATCCTCTTTCTAAAATTCAACTGCGGTGATTTAAAAGGTGTATGTGTGTGAGAGAGAGAGGGAGAGGGAGATAGGGAGATAGGAAAATAGACAGAAATCAGCTCTCTGGAGAGTTACAGAGATAGGGAACCAGAAACCAGAATGACTTTGCCCTCGGCTGTAGTCATTCTTGTTAAAATCTGACTTGTTCATTCCATCCAAGTTAAGCCTGTGGGTGGGGGTTGTGGAATAAATGTGCCTGGGGTGGCCGCATTCAGCATTCCATGCTCTCAAATTAGGGAAATGGTTCACCTCCCTGGGACTGTTTGGTCCAGCTGCCAGCTTGGGGTCAGATGGAAAGACAAACTAGGACCTCCACAAGAAGTCCGGCACCCTGGAGACCCCTATGGGTGGGGGAGAGGAAGTGTCCGTGGCTTCTTGTTGCACACAGCTAGCAACCGAGCATGTGAAATCCCATTTCAGCACCTTCAGAGGCCCTCTGCCAAGCACATCTATTTTCGATCCTGCCGCTGAGATTGCACCTGCTAGGTGGGTGTGAAGAGCTGAGGATCCATGACTTTCCAACCTAACTCTGCAAGGACATGCTTTCCTCCCAGTCCCAGCCCCTGGCCCCTGTTGGTGAAGCTGTGAGGACAAGCCCTGTCTTCCCCCATCCAGAAGGACCATCCGCACCATCCAGGTGCATTGTAGGTTAACATTTCTTGGGAAAGTTGAACCATCAGTGTGCAATTTGAAGCTGACATTTCTTGGGATGACAAGCAGCACCCACTTTGTTGCATACAGAAATGCCGTTCTGGCAAAAGAGGGGTCAGTCTGATGCTCCTTGTTTATAAGAATCCAGTGCTGATGCAGTAAGTGGGGTTCTCAAGTGTCTGTTGCTGCTCTGGCAAAAAGTCTTCCAAGAGGAGTGTAGCTGGACAGCTCAGGGAAATGGAATACGAATGGGGCTTTTCACATCTCTAAGTTACTGGTTCAGCTGGGCCCCAGGGGAGACAGCCAAAGGACTCCCTCCTCCTTCTACCCCATGGGAGAAGCCAGGGGTCTTGGTCCATTCCTGAGCACCAACGAGTACCTGGACAGCTGAAAACTCAGCTCATCCCCGTGGTCAATGTCACATGGTGTTAACATCAGCCACTGACCAGTGTCTTCCCCAAGACTCCATGGGTGGCTCCAAAATGGCACCCATAGAATGAGGCCAGCCTGCAGACCATTGTGATCGGCCCATGCAGAGTTGGAAAATTGTTAACTAACTGCCAATGTGGAAAAATTTGGAGGTTCCAAGTGAAACAGCTATATGTTCAGTTACTCTTGCAAAATCAGAATATCTGGACACAGTGCGCCCATAGTTAGGCCTGGCAAGCATCCATGGGCTGAGTTTCAGAAGTGACTGCCCCCCCTGAGGGTTAGCCATGGTGCCCATTGGCCTTTCTGCTCATGGGCCATGTCTGCTTAGACCCTGTGGACAACTAAATGTGCCACCCTGCTCAAGAACTGCAATTCCCAGAGGGAGTTCTGACCAGGAAGGACTCCTCAGGGTTTAGCTGCCAGCAGAGAGCAGAGTCCAGAGGAGTGACCACAGGCCCCCAGGCGTGAGACACACTACTGCCCTCCCAACCACGGTCACCACCCACAGGGATGTGTTTATGAGACAGTTTCCCGCAAGTAGCCTCACCTGCCCTCATAAAAGCCCTCGAGAGGGCAACAGTACATGGCAATTACCTAGAGCAGGAGGTTATTTGGGCCAGATAAATATACCAACATGATAGATTGAAATTCCAGCAGATGTAACCTCCCGTGGGAGAAATGGGAGCATGGATAATCAGACAAGATTATCTGGCCTGGGGAATTGAGGAAACTTTTTGTCCCTGGGGGGCCCTGGTGGCGCAGTGTTTAAGAGCTCAGCTGCGAACCAAAATGTTGGCAGTTCCAACTCACCAGCCACTCTTTGGAAACCCCATGAGGCCGTTATACTCTGTCCTATAGGGTCGCTATGAGTTGGAATCGACTCGATAGCAACAGGTTTGGTTTGTTTGGTTTTGGTTTTGAATTCCTGGGTAAAATCAGTGACATAGGAAGTTGAATGAGGCAGTGGAGTAAAAGGAATTGGGTGAGTACACCAGTGTTCATTGCAGAACTATTCGGCCAAAAGGTGACAACAACCCAAGTGTCCATCAACAGATGAATGGACAAACAAAATGTGGTCCATCCATACAGTGGAATATTTTTCAGCCATAAAGAGAAATGAAGTTCTGATTCATGCTATGACATGGATGGACCTTGAAACATTATGCTGAGTGAAATAAGTCAGACACAAAAGGATAAATATTGTATGATTTCACTTAAATGAAATAACTCGAACAGGCACAAGCATAAAGACAGAAAGCAGATTAGAGGTTACCAGGGTCTGGAAGGAGGAAGGAATGGGGAGTTATTGCTTATACTGAGTTTTTGTTTGGGGTGATGAAAAAGTCTTAGAAATGGGTAGTGCTGATGGTTGTACAACATGGTGAATGTAATTAATGTCACTGAATTATACACTTGAAATGGTTAAAACGGCAAAAATTTTGTTATGTATATTGTACCACAATAAAATGAAAGAAAGAAAAAGAAAAAAAAAAAAAAAGATTGGATGAGGGGAGAGTGACTGGAAGCCTTTTCCAGAAGACCTGGGAGCCAGTGGTGGGAATGTAGCTGAGGGAGGCATGAGAGGCCGGCATTTCTCAGAGCTGTGGGGAGAGGCGCCCCCTGCTGGACATGAGGAAGCCTACTTCCCCTTCTGGGTTTTTGGGCAAAAGCAATCCTGGCTAATATGTATCGGAAGCGTGGTAGGTACTAGACACCATTCAATGTACAAAAAGCATGATTTCAAGTATCCCTCACAACAGCCCTGTGAGATCAGTGCTATTATTATCATTATCCCTCTTCACAGTTGAAGAAGCCAAGGCTCTGAGGAGAAAAGTGACTTATCACATCCCAGTGTTGCTCCAGGATTAGAACTGAGGCAGCTTGGCTCTGAGCCTAGCCCTGACCCACTTCAAAAGCAAAAGTAGGACTAGCACTCCGTAAGGCCTCTATCCCCGCTCTGGTTCAAAAGGTGAGGGGGGTGGTTCTCCTCAGGGAGTAACGGACTCAAGTGCCCAGGGCCTGCTCCCCTGGCACCCAGTTCTCACTCAAATCTCCCTCCTTTCTCCACAGCCTGCCTCAGCCTCCCCTCTCCTCATGACGTGTCCCCACGCTGACAAGAACTTTGACCAAATCACTTTCCCTTTCTTAGCTCTGGCTCTCTGGACCTCTGTGTCCCTCCACCTCTCTCTTTTCTGAGTGACTTTGGTTTCCCAGCCCTGGGAACTTCTGTTGTCTCTTTCATTTTACTAAACAATTCTCAGATGTCACTGAATTGTGTACACTTAAAATGGTAAAAATTTTGTGTAACACCCTCTCTTTTTCTCTCTCCCTCAGCTTTCCTTGCTCCAACGACACACGTGAAGGGGTGTGTGTGTGTGTTTGTGTTTGTGTGTGTGTGTGTGTATGTATGTGTGTGTGTGTGTGTGTGTGTGTGTGTAGTAAAAAATAAATAAATAAAATATATGTAAAATAAAAGTTGCCATTTTAACCATTTTTAAGTGTACAATTCAGGGACATTAATTACAGCACAATGTTTTGCAGTCACCACCACCATCTATTTTCAAAACTTCTTCATCATCCCAAACAGACACTCAGGGCCCCTTAAACAATAACTCCCCGTTCCCCACTCTCCCCAGCCCTTGGTAACCACTAATCTACTTTCTGTCTGTTTTAGACAGATAGACATTTGTCTATTCTAGCTATTTCATATAAGTGGGATCATACAAGATTTTTCCTTTTGTGTCTGACTTATTCACTTAGCATAATGTTTTCGAAGTTCATCCTGATGTAGTAGTATCAGGACTTCATCTCTCTCTATGGTTGAATAATATTCCATCGTATGGATGTGCCACATTTGGTTTATCCATTCATCTGCTGATGGAGGGAAAGACTTCCTTGTGGGTCCA